AGAGCCCATTATATGATCAGGCATAATATCCAGTAGTTTCTTCACAAAACAGTTAAATGCAAATATGGACATAGATGTAAATGTGGACATAGTCTGAACAGTGAGTACCTTATCCCGCAATCCTAGTGCAAAGTGTTTCCCCTCCTTGGACCTCAAGCTGAAATTGAATAATATAACAGAGAGCGTGGATTTGTACATCCAGAACATAAAAAATAATGCTAGATGACATCAGATGAGTGGTTCCATGGAAGCAGAATTAAAATGCAGAACAGCAGTTTATCCCACCACTCTTTCAAAATATGTGGAGAATGTGGCCTTTCTAGCTTCCTCCTCCCATAAACAAATTTGCTGACCAAGACTGCAATTTTGCACGCAGGTTGGTCTGAACTCTTGATTTTAAAAGAAATATGGTCACTAAATGAAATCAAGTGTCAGTCACACTCAACACTGTGACAAAGTTTAACTGTTTGACTCTATCTCAATACCAAGACAGGAAATAGACAGTGCACTTTGTGGAGTAGCTCATTTCGAGAAGAGATGCTTTATCATTTCTTTGTAAGCACACTGATTAAAACCCAGTAAGCCTTTTCCCAGATAAAGGTCAAAGTCATCTGCTAATGACTGTCCTACTTTTATGACGTTAGTCTGACAGCTATTGATTGGACCTCTCACTGGAGTGAAAAAGCATTAATGAGCACAATCCAAATCAAGATTCTTTAGCCCTTTCAGTAATACAAACTTTTCAAAAATTAATATTCTGCAACACTTCCAAGAATCATTTGCCCAGCCATCCTAAACATAATTGGTCAAAAGAAACACTACTGATATCAAAGTTTTTGTCACCAAAATATGTGAGATTGGTTTGGGATGCCTGTGAATTTGGGTCTAAATTGTATAAAATAATTGGAGCCAGACGCCTCTGTTCTGAGACAGAAAGACAGAGAAAGAGATGAAGCACAAAGGTTCATAAGAATTTAACTATTAGACAGGAAAAATAAGTTGCATGAATTTGTTAGTCTTTAAGTGCAGAATATGTTTTGAGAATTTCAGCTCTGCAAATAGTTCATAAAATGGATTTCAGTTTGAATGTGATAACCACAATCCTCTCATCTACAAACTAACCCTGGAAGTTCATGTTATGAATATATTGTATCTAGCCTCTGGAACAACTTATCAAAGATATCTACTGTAGATTCCAAACACAAAGACATTTGGAGAGAACAGTTGTTTTAATTACACTGACACGGCCTATTAAGCAAACTGGGAAGTATGCCATTTTGCCCATGTTTGTCCTGCATTGTTCAACGATAAAAAGCATAGCTGAGAATTAATTCTGGTTTGTATTCCCAAGCCACATATTCTCGAAATTAGAGTTAGAGTTATTATAAAATATGGCACTGGAGAGAATCTGAGGGGAAAACCCACTCATCTTTTGTATGGAGAACGTTTCACCTCTGGCATTTCCAGTTAAAGGAACTGGGTAGTAAGTGCCGAGGAAGATATTTGCATTAACACTCTCAACGGGTACCGGTTAGAGCAGGCAACTTTGGGCCAGATAAAGCAACAGTCTAACTCAGAATAAAAGGTAGTTTCATACATTCTTTAGGGGGGGAGGGAAATCTCACAGACTGAATGCACAGGTATTTACTACAAAAGTCAGCTGTACACAACAACTGATTGTAATATGTTAACTCTCACTAATTCAGCACTCCTTGAAACAGCCTTTCAGTATTTTTTATACCTAACTCTGATGTATTTCATTCAATTAGATTACACAGAGTGCTAGAAAAGGAGAAAAAGCCTGAGTCCTCTCTCATATATGGGTGAGAAGGACTACTGAATCAAAATTGGCAATATATTTGAAATGTATAGTTTAGCAAATCAAATTCAACTTCAAAGAGAAAAATAACATAACAGGTCTATTTGCATGTACGTTTTTTGGCATTCTATTTTTCCATTTGTAATGCTGCCATGACCAACATTTGTGAGTATCTGCACACCAACTTCTAAAATCAGTGTGAAATGTCAGAAAAGCACTGGTTATCGCAGCACTTCAACAGAATGAGAGACAAAAAGTAGCGGTATCCACAACAGTAATTAAAGGAGGAGGATCAAAGCTCAAGTACTGTAATAGAGGTACACCCCCCCCTTGATATCCTTTGTGGCAGCAGAAATTCTCTCAGCAAGAAAGAATACTCCTGAAAATTAAAAGATTCCTATAATTTAGTCAGACGTTTTCTGACCAAAAGCTCTTTTAAAATGCTTGTCTGAAATTTTGATTCCTAAGTGGTATAACATCTATCAGGAGAGAAGTCCAACCTTTGCATATTAATATAAAACAATTTCAGGTTCTCAGAACTACGGTAACTTGCAGAAAACACCGACAGGAACCACTCTGTTTGTTTTAAAAAAATTTAATCATGCTGATAAACCACTTATGGCAAATACATATAATCTCAATGGGGTGAACACAGAATGTTTCCTTTCAGTTCTGTGAGCCTATGGATGAAAAATACAGTTAAAGATGCTATGCACAGTTGCATCCTATATAAAGCTGGCCTTGTGATTTCCAGGTTCTTTTTCTTCTTCTTTTTAAAGGAAAGTTCTTGCTGATAACATAACTTCTGTCTTGGCTTAATTCAGCCCATTAACACTCATCTTTCCTATTGCAAACTAAGGATGTAGTCAGAACACTCATTTCACACCTGGAGTACATGTATCATAAGCACCCTGACAAGAAATTACTTCACATGACCAGATCTCCTCCCTCAACAGTTTCATATACATGCCAAATAGAACAGGGCACAAAACAGCTCTGTGGTTCTCCACAGCTTAAGTGACACAGCACTGGATTGTTATGTGCCATCAAGTCAAATGAGTTTTTCAAGATATGTGAGATGTTTAAGGATTAGTTTTACCATTGCCTCCACTGCCCAGTAAGTTTCATGTATTAACCAGGAATTTGTACCCAGATCATCTGAGTCCTACTCTGTCACTCTATGCACTACTATACTGGTTCTCTAAAATTATGATATGCAGCACAAGAACTGCTGGGCATCAAGAAGATTTACAACCAAGGTTTATAGGTTTGAAATCTACATAAAATTTGTAAATCCTCATATCTATTTATACCACGTATACAGGCACAGATCACAGTTATGGGACATAGATTTCAGGCTTGAGACCCAACATCAGCAATGTCTCTGATCTACTGTCTTCTGAAGAACTGACTAAGCGGCCTGTGGGTCCATCCATAGTAATGAGCGGTAAGTGAAAAAAATGCCTTCTGTTCCTCCAGCTGGATCTTTGGATCCATGACCCAGAAAGCAGCTACCTCTACCTACCAAAAAACACATTTTCATTAGACAAGACAGCAACACATTGTTCCAAGGGAGATGATATATGCAAGTTATAGTCTGCATTTTAACGACCAGGTTTCATTGTATCAGATCTCAAGCGTGCTCTAGATTTATTTTGAGTAAGGATAATTTATTATTTAACAGGTTGGTTGTAATATACATTCTAATAATATATTCCAGAGAACATCTAGAACATCTTGCCTCCTGAGATTTGCCTGGCACCCTCGCTAGGAGTTTTTAAGAAAAAGCTGAAGATTTGGTTCTCCAGGCAGGCCTTTTCCCCCTTCCACATTTAGTTTGTGTTTTCCCATCTTTGCTTACCTTTTTTTGGTTTGGATATTATCTGTTTTAATTCTTATTTTATATAAACAAACAAACAAATAAAAGTAGAATAAATAAAATGTTGGCAACATAGATTTTAGTATCATGTTTTAAAATTCAGAGTTTACCTGCTTAGGTAAAATAATCTTCCTAATCATCTTAGGTAAGAACCCTAATACCACTTCTTTTTATTATTTCAAGAACAGTTTCTCAGAATTTTCAGGTCTTACAGCAAATTGTTTACCATAATACCATGATTTGGCACGTGTTACAAATTAAAATGACCTGATGACCTACTTTAGCTCCATGGCCTGTGTCCTGCTCCAGTGAAAAGGATCATAACAGATCCAAATAAGTGCCGTCTCCCTAAGGTGGATGGACAGAGTGAGTTTGAATGACCAAATGTGGTCCCATTTCTTCTTGTTACCAATTTGCCAAGAACATAGCAGCACTGAACGGAATCTCTAAAATACCTTTAGCAACTGCTAAAGATTCATATATCCTTATAAAGGCTCTCCTTTGCAACCACATAATGGAGGGGGGGAGGGAGTGTTACTAAACTTTGAATCCAACTGAACACATATTTATTTAAAAGGATGAGGTATTTGTTTTCATTAATTTTAGCACCCTAGAACATATTAAATGGCAAAAAGAAAAGACCAAATCAGTACAGCAGAAGGAAATTGAAGAGTACTGTATAACAATATAGCAGTGAGGTAGAACATTTTCACAATGAGGGAAAGCATCAAAAGTCAGCATTTTCTGCTTGTCTAGGGTTACAGAAACCTACCATCTTGGGTTTCAGAAGCCCAAGCTAAACAAGTTAGCTGAATAAAATGAATTTCAGGCCATAAGAATATGACATTAACACAACAACAATAAAACTGTGCTACTGTCAGGAGAGCTTTTCAACAAAATTTCATCAAAGTCATATATCAAGGCACTGTGACTACACAGCCCCTGCTCTGCTTTTATTTCTCCATCAGTTGTTTCCCACTGTCATCCTGTTATGGGGAAAACTAGAGCCCTGATTATCACAATAGGCAAGGGAATAAGTGGAGCAAGGAGTCGGGTAGAGGAACAAAGAATGCAGTTACTGCAACCTTGCACAATGCACTTAAAAGCAGGAGCACTAGAAGTGTTCAGGTTGGTAGTCCTAACCAGAGGTGGGAAGAAGGTGCCAAGAAATATGTCCACTCACTTTACAATCAAGAAGATGAATCAACCACAGGCCCATGTTTTAATGTGTTTTTTTTTCTCGTTTAAAGTCTGCTGAGCTAAAGAAGTCATTAATACCTGTTTTATAAGATAGGTACCTACCTGAAAGTCTTGATCATCAATTCCAAACCTCTCCCGCAGGTTACGAAAAACCATTGGGCAATATTCCTTGAATTTGAAATGGCTTGGCATATTTTCTCTGCAATAGAAATTTGACAGGAAAGTTAAATTAGAAAGGAATATTATCAAATATTTATTTATTATCTATAAATAAAGCAGTAATAATAAAGGTCTCTTGTCTGCCAGATCAGATACTTTAACAAATGTGGTGATAATTATTCGCCTCAGAATACTGTAAAAAAAAAGAGGGAGAGAAGAAGCGATATCAAAAGACAAACACAGAATTTGAACAGATCTTGATAATGTGGATCCTGAATATCATATTTTGTTCAGCAATATCTTGCAAAAGATGGTCAGCTCAGTGGCTTAGGCATCTGGCTGCAGAGCCAGAAGTTGGGTGTTCAGTTCCCTACTGTGCCTCGTGACAGGGGCCGGATTCCATGAACCATAGGGTCCCTTTCAATTTTAAATTGATGATAAAAAGCTGCAATTTAATTTTAAAAAATGAAAATATATACTGTGAGAGAAAGGAGCATTAAACCCATATAATTTTTAGAACATTTCAATTACAAATCATTGAAGCTTCTCCACTTTGTTTGCATGAAGCCATGAAACACCTACATTAAGTGATATGACCTTTTTTACTGATCCCTGCTCCAATGTGGGGGCAATAACCATAGCAAGCTACCTAATACCAAGATCAGTAATTGTGCCATCTAGCCCACTAATCCAAAGTAGCTACAGATGTGCTGGACTGGTGTCTAGCTAAGACAGTACAGTCTTAATACTATATATCTACAAGACAGCAAATTGGAGAAGGCTGCTTCAGACCATTACTGCCTATGTTTACACTACCTCACCAAGGTCTCAGGCAGACGCCTTCCCCACTTCTGCTGCATACGTTTTTAAATAAGGGTGTCATCTGCACAACACAAGGTGGAGGAATCACTTGGCAGCACATATCAGCACTCAGCATGACACCCCCCCCCCTAATTTGTTAATTTCCTCTCTGCCACACTTTATATTTCTGTCAGTCCAAGTGGAGGGACAGACCACTCCTACCAAATGTCTGCCGAGAACTTTTGAAATTAGGCTAACGATGTCATGAAACTGTACAATAGCTGTAGGTTGCTCAGTTTTGCTCTAACTGGAAATACTGTGGCTTGAACATGCAACCCAGTGTATAGGGAAGATTCATAGGTTACTAGTCACTTTTATTATGAAAAGCCTCAGGTTCAATTCTTGGTATTTCCAGTAGTAATGAAACCATAGAAAGTAACTATTGCTAAACCAGTAGAACCATCACCAATGAAGGTAGATAGTTTCTGAGCTAGATAGACCAATTGGGCAACTTCTTGTTACCAGAGATATGAAATAATTCTAATGGAACAGTTAAAATCTTACATTATTACTGAGCTGTGATCCACAGTAAGGGTTAATCATACTGTTGATCACAAGAGAAGGAGGGAGTACATGTCAGCTGAATGTTTACAAAATTAAGTGTATAGTTCAAATTTTTAGTAAAGAAGTTATTAAAAGCCAGGGATACGTACATTGTTGTCTCTTTTCTTCTTATAACCTTTCCTTTAGTATCCCCAAAATGTCTGTTCTGAGCCTATTTAGATGATTATTTAAGATCACTTAGTTCATATGGAGATCTGGAATTCAATGCCAGCTGCAAGCTCATCTACTTAGTTCTGTAGTTTCAATGAAATGAAAATTCTGTAGAGCCCATGCTTACTAGTGGCTCACCATGTTTGGACAGAGGCACATTGCTCAAAAATGAATGCAGACAATACTGCAATCGCAGTTGCTAGCAGGCCCTGTGATGCAGGAAAGGTCTTCACTGATAGCAGTAGCTACCCCTGGTTAAGTTGGTTCTCAGTTCTGTTGCAGAACCTAGATTCAACAGTGAGCCTGAAACTTCGGGCAGATTGCTGGCAGATGATTTTCTAATCATCTTCCTCTGATAACAAAGGCTCCAATGTAACTTACAGGCTTCAGATTTAAAAACGAATCATTCATGCCTTAGCTACTGTGAGGTTGCACTGTTGGTACACTATTGGATATGGTTTCTGTCAGAAGATTTAAGTGATGCAGCCTGTCTCCTGGCAGAGATGTAATTTCACTGCCACATTATAAAGGTGTTCTAGTTCCCCATTTTGCTTCCACAAGCAATCTATATTGGCTTCGACTTACAGAATGCTAGACAAACAGGGCTTACCAGCCTAAAAGGCTATTCCTTTCCATTCAACATTGATTTAAACATATCTTTCAAAATAACAGTTTCCAAGGAAGCTAAAAAGAAAAATGCTGTTTGTTAAGTACCCCAGCCAACTGAGGCTGTCCACTGACTTCAGTCTGTCTGCCAAGTACAAACTGCACAACATCATTAACAGCTGCTGTCACATGAATGGGATACTTTTTTCTGAGGTTTCACCTAAATCAGAGCAGTTTGCTCTGTAGAGGTTTGCATCAGTCTGAATTAGGAATAATCTTCTTGGAAAGGATTCACTTTCCAAAGGCTGCTACGCAGGAAGGCAGCAAGACAGGAAGGGAACTCTTCCCCCCCTCCAACTTTTCCCTAACACCACTGTCCTACTTTCTGTCATCTATGGAGGTGAACAGGAAGAAGGTCCATTTGTTTTCCTTACCCTCTTGGGTTGTTTCAAGAAATAGACAAATTTAGTTGCTTTTTTAAAATCATTTGGTTCACTTCTGGGTCACTCTAAGGAGAGCCAGGGATAGTTTACCCATCCATAAAGTAGCATATTTTTGAGACGTTGAAAAAAGTGTTAGCAATTTAGTTAAGCTGAATCAGAGCCTTGTGGTGTAAGCCTTTGTGGGCTAGGACACTGGTGTGTCAGCAGATTAATTTCTTGTGTTGCAAGCAACTAGCTTCAAACTGGGTCTATGCATGTGGGAAATATGTTATTGCCATCTGTACTGAGCCTTTGTGATGGAACATATTACAATTAAACATTATTACTTTTGGTGCACAGATGTTGCAAAAAGCTTGGAGTCTAATTCTGATATTAGATACTTGTAGAAAATCTAACACAATATGACCAAAATAATGAAGAAACTCCTTACTGCACTGTGGATCAACATATGATTTTTAACATATAAGAATAAATCAGCAGAATTTCCCTTCTACTGAAAAAAATAACCTAATCTATAGGACCATGATATGAACAAAAGTCATCTACTTCACTTACTTGTTGAAAAGGTGATTGTCTACTTTTATTTTTGAATATGCTTTGAAGTCATCTGGCATCAACATAACAGGGATTTGAACGTGGCTCAGTTCATTGATCTACAGGGATGAAAAGAACAGAAGTTAAGAGTAAAATTAGAAAGCAGATCACTTTAGATCAGCAAGCCTCCAGATGTGGGATTTTGCATTGCCATCCACCCTATCCAACATGGACAAAAGTTACAGTTTAAAACATCTGGAGAGCCAAAAATGTCAGAAACAATATATTTCACTTTCGTCTATATTTATGAGGTAGAGAATGATAAGAGATGGGTAGCATATATACAGAGGCATGGTTTCAGAGACAAGCAATGCCTATTATCATCTATGAAGGAAGTAGAAACTCTTATTATGAACTGGAGATAAGAATGAACTTCAAAAGATTTTCCAGAGGAAACTTCTAAAATTCATTTGTCTAAAAAATGTGCCCCAGATTGCTTTTTAACAACAGGCACTGAAGAATTATCCATCTCAACACTTGAACAACATTTTAAATAAGTGCAAAGGTATTCCACAGGGAATGGCCTTCAGCCAAAATCCATCTATATCATTACAATGCAATATATATCAACATATTCTCACTACCCAGGAGACATTGTCCTTCAACTGTTCTGAGCTTCTGTTGTGTGTGTGTTATGTGCTGTCAAGTTACTTTGGATCTATCCCAACTCTAATAGGGGTTTCAAAGAAAGGAGTGGCTTATCCTATCCAAAATAAATTCTAACTGATGATGCATGACATCACAGAAAGAGTACAGAAATAAGAGAACACAAATTATAAGCAATTTTAGACTGAATTTAATTGTTTTCTAAGGTTTTCCAATGCCAAACCAAAACAACAAGAGACCAGCTGATGACCTAAGAGATCCTTTGCAGCAAAATTTATAGTAGAAGAAATCTCAGTTTGGGAAAGAGCAAATTGCTACCTTTAGACAGAGAATCAGATAAAAAGTAACTACAAAACTGAAGCAACAATTTGAAAGTACAAGGGAGAAATCCAGTGCTCTTTCTTAGACAAAGAGGATTAAAGCAATTTTCCCCTCTGGAGAGGTTTCTTCCATATCCATCTCTGTGTCTCCAACACACTTCCAACTTCTCTTGCTACTGGCACCAATGACATTTACATCACATACAGAATCTACAGTTTTTAAAAGAAAAATCATTGATTTGCAGAAGGTAAAGAATTGTGGAAGCTTGACTGACCCACAAATAGATGGCTTGGAATCAAACACGGTACAGACAGGCACGGCAAGGCATGGTTTCATTAGCCTTTGTTCTCACAGACCACACTCGGATATCAGCATCTTTAATTAAAGAGACAATCAGAAGCTGAAAAAGAATCAATTGTTTCAAGATTTTTGGTGCCTGGCTTTGAGATCTGGGAAGAGTTAGCTAGTACTGAGTCTTTCTGTGTTGCAACAAAGAGCAGCAGTTGTCTCATCTGTGATCAGAGATGCAAAATGGATGAAAAATAACAGCTTCAGCTCTACTGCACTGCTAGAAGTCAAGAAAAAAAAATCTTTTGATGAAGGACAATGCTCTCAATTTTCTACAAGCAATTCTGGCTCAAAACAATGACTGAACAAAGATTGGATAAATACAACTCAGACTTCTTTCTGGAACAGATTTGTTTTATAGATGCACCGAGAGCGGAGACACTGTTAAGTCTTGTTGTTGTTTAGTCATTAAGTCATGTCCGACTCTTTGTGACCCCATGGACCAGAGCACGCCAGGCCCCCCTGTCTTCCACTGCCTCCCGGAGATTGGTCAAATTCATGTTAGTAGCTTCAATGACATTGTCCAACCATCTCATCCTCTGTCGTCCCCTTCTCCTCTTGCCTTCACTCTTTCCCAACATCAGGGTCTTTTCTAGGGAGTCTTCTCTTCTCATGAGATGGCCAAAGTATTGGAAGGTCAGCTTCAGGATCTGTCCTTCAGTGAGCACTCAGGGTTGATTTCCTTAAGAATGGATAGGTTTGTTCTCCTTGCAGTTCAGGGGACGCTCAAGAGTCTCCTCTAGCACCACAATTCAAAAGCATCAATTCTTCAGCAGTCAGCTTTCTTTATGGTCCAGCTCTCACTTCCATACATCGCTACTGGAAAAACGAGAGCTTTGACTATGTGGACCTTTGTCAGGAAGGTGAGGTCTCTGCTTTTTAAGATGCTGTCTAGGTTTCTCATCACTTTCCTCCCAAGAAGCAGGCCTTTTAATTTCGTGGCTGCTGCCAACATCTGCAGTGATCATGCCTCCATATCTTCCCCTTCTATTTCCCAGGAGGTGATGGGACCAGTGGCCACAATCTTTTTTTTTTAATGTTGAGCTTCAGGCCATTTTTGCGCTCTCCTCTTTCACCCACATTAAGAGGTTCTTTAATTCCTCCTCACTTGCTGCCATCAGAGTGG